ATGAAAAGTCTTGTTGGACGACGTCGTCACCAGGGTCAGGCCCAATATCTTGTAAAGTGGCGGGGATAACCAGACTCCGAAAACTCGTGGGAGTTTGATGCGCCACTTCGGCAAGATTGCCCAGTCACCGTGGACGCTTTTGATCGGAAATATAAGGACGTCCCGCTTCATCAAACGCCCCGCGCTTCCCAGAAATAGCCAGGGAAGTAGATGGGCCATGAGCTGAGCTCAAGCAGTGGCCCTGAGCTCAAGCAGTGGCCCTGAGCTCTTGCGGTCGAAGACACAGAGCTCGCAGGAGCATTAGGGGTTGTTAACCCATACGTCGCAGGGTGACAATCCGAAGGAAGTAGACGGCGTGCCTTGAGTTTGGCAAACTCAAATCGGAGGTGTCACTCCACACGCACGTCCACTTCCTTGTGGCTCAACAGCAGCTTATGCATTGAAGAAAGTTCTTGGTGCCGTTGCAACCATCACTCATAGAGCGCTTCGTCATCTGTAGTGCTTTCGCCAGGGGCGAGCACTACAGGTATTGTTTGCATTGTGGGTACACGAGAGCCACCTCGTTTAGCATTTAGACGAATGCGATAATCGTTTTAGTATTTCTTGTGGAACTAAGAAACGAGCTCGAAAAGCTTCCCGTGTGGCAAGTTCATCATCCGTTCTGGCCGGGGGCCCGATGATGTGGACGCGTAACGATCGAGTTACCGCGTCATTCGCTTCCACGACGGGATCCGCAGGGCGTAAGCCATATTCCACCCGAGCTCCAATGGCCGACCGTGGCTGGGCGCACTTTAGAGCCGCCCTATGGGCAGCTTCAAGCTGCCGCCTCTGTTTTTCGTCGAGGTCATTGGTGATTACGCCACGATCCTCAGCTGACGAGAAGTCAGGGAACGGACATTGGGTCCGCAAGGCGCGAGCAGGGCTCGTATCACGCTGCCGGTGCATCTCGCCTTTCTCGTCATCCCATGCGGAAAAAGACTTGTCAGACTCATAGTCGACTACACCCTCAACGAGGCCACTCAGCACTGAAAGCGTGCGCTGAGCGCGACGTATGTGCTCATCGAGCCTAGGATATACATCCCCAAGTGCCGCGGACGCACTGTCCGACATCGCACCGCGTGCGGGGGACGAAGTTGGGCTCTTCCAGTGCTCGCTGTCAGAACCAGCGAGCCTTGGTGGTTTTCGGGTCGTGGACACAGGGCTCATTGAGCAAGGGAGTTGCTAAAATCCAACAAATTGAGTTGCAGTGTCTAACGGACGCGCGAGCCTCGTTAAGGCAATAATCGATTGGAACTGAAAATTTAATCAATTTTAATGGGGGATGGTGTAACGGGGTTACACGAACCCTAATAACAAGGATGTGTGTCACACGAGATGTGCATGATTGGACCACACACCCAAACAAGAATACGGTACGGGACTAGGTAGCCAGTAGTTTAATTTAGATTTTACTATATATATATCTAGTATATTTAGAAAAAATTCTTTTGATATTAGGATAAAAATATAAATAAAAATCAGTTTGGAATTTAAACCGAAGAGTCGATTAGCCTTGGGAAGGCTAAATCACTCTTGGAGTAAGCGGATTGCGATCCGCTATCTCATACTTGGTTCTTGTAAAGAACGAAAGGTAGGTGACCTAAAGTACGCTTCCTCAAGCGTTTTGCTACGGCAGCCCCGCTGCATGCTTGTTATAAAACGTATTATGATTACATTTAGGTTATTGTGCTTGGTTCAACGCTATTTCTGGCCTGTACAGATCGTGTAACGCGGTGCAAGCGATGGCTACTTTGGTGCGACTCAGTTCTAGCTGAAAGTTGGCTGACCATCATGTCGGGCTTTGATTTCTAGCATTCTAGGTGCCGCGTCGTTTTACACCGGTCTCGTGGTCTTTGTAGACAATCTGAGCGATACGGCCAATTTCGGTGCGATCATCAACGCCACATTCGATGGGATTACAGCTAAGTTGCCCCACGGCAAACGTATTCGCCAAAATGGCTTCCCGGTGACTATTTTTTGGGTCGACATCCCTGCTTTGCTGCGAGGTTTTGACAAAAGGTATTCAAAGTTATTGGCGTCAAACACGCCTCAGCTAACAACCCCCAAATAAATAGTCAGATTAAGGCGCGATCCCGTGGTGAAAGAATTTTTCCAAAGCATTTGCGTGGAACGACCGCGGTGGTGGAGAACGTAAAATAAATCCGGCAAAGCAGTCTCTACGTAAAAGAACGTAGAGTCTGGTTTTCCCATATTTATTTTTATCATAGAAGTTTAAGCTTCTCAGGAGTCCCATTGACATGCCATGAAGATGCGCCGGTCTTGGTGAAATATTGGTAGTTTGACTTGCTGATATCAGACCCGCAAAGCTTTGTTACATAATCACATAATTTATCTCGAAGTGATCGAGGGTTATCAGTTATGTGTGCGACACTATGCTGAACGCTAGAATTTGCGAAACGCTAGCAGACGCAACACACATTAAATTTCAAAATCGTTTTATGAAATGCGATTTTCCTACCTACACAAACAGTGAAGTTCTAAGCTAAGACCTCGCTAAATCAAACTGTTAACTGTCGCATTTAACAAGAGTTATCTTGTATCTTACTATCGGGAGAGAGACAAACAAATGCGTTTTTTTACGTGAGTTTGATTGGGTCACACCATTAGCCGCTTCTACGACAATGAAAATGTCCGTTGACGCTAAAGTAATGCCTCAATCATCACCTGAGCACCAGAGCTATAGCCAATATTCTTTAAGTAGAAGGCCCCCGCTCCAAGATCCCATGTTGGCAGAATCGGCCTGACATAGCATCATGCACCTATCGAAAAAAGCGAGCACTTTTGTACCTCAAACTGGGAGAGGTCAATGATCGTTGTTATCGGACCGCGCTAAGCTCTGATAGATTATTGGATGTCATGCAGATTGGAGTATCACTATTGAGATCAATGACGAACATTTAGTACTAAGAACCCAATTATGGATACTATACCTGTATGTAGTGCGACGGGACACTTGTAAAGGCGTAAACCTTTCAGCGTATGTCAACCGTCTAAGCCTGAAAGCATAGCACCTTGTTTGGTCTTCAACCTGTTCATGAGATATGGTGTTATTTAGATATACTCCAACTGGAAATACACAAGCCATGAATTGATTGAATTTCTACAACAATAAGTGCCACTCACATCTTTTTTTATGAAGCTTTGGTGAGTCATGAAACTGCTTCTACCATGAAGTAGAGACACTTTCGGCCCGGGCATGAAGCTGCAACAACTGCTGAACATAAAATTGTCTTGAATAGTTAGTAACGATACTGGCTGGAGCAAAGATCGAATAATAAGGTTGGCTGTG